TTAGTGTTTTTCCAACACACGTAGTGTAAAAGTAAAAACTGTCGCCTGAACTTAGAGTAATCAGTTTTGTATAACTTAAAAGAATTGAATAAATAAACTAAAAACAAACATTCAGTACTTTTGTTGTGTGGGACTGATGGGCTGACTTACATGTATGGTAACGAGAAAGTACCAGCATGTTAACTTTATTACAATTTGTATTCCCTTCTCTGTGGTTCCTAATGGACTTAATTATGGACTCTGGATATTTGCACTTATGTACTTGATACTGAAGAGTAAATAAATGTTACTAAATGTGAGAACTTCTCCCTCTCTCCTTGTGGTCCTACCAGAAAATGCAAAGGTCATAAGAGATGAAATCTCCCCAGGACGTGCTGGGAAGGCTGAGACCAAGTGCTCACTTCACTCCTGTCTCCTGGACCCCATGGTCCACCCCAGCCTGGTGTATGGCTGCTTTGGGCTAGTAATAGAAGTCACCAGAGAGTAGTAACACTGGAAAATACTCTTCATACTAGATGATGGGGTTGATGCAGATATTTTAAATAGTGTTTTTTCCTTGAAAATGACATATATCCTTCCACAACTTCTTATAATAACATGTAACACAGCACTGGCATGAAGCTATTGTACTTGCTATGAACTCTTTGGTGATTACTTACTGAGCACCTGCTATGTGCCAAACACTCAGAATGGGGCTGGGAATAAGGGAGACTACAGTTCCTGCCATCACAGATTTAAGTCTTATAAAAACTGCTCAGTTTTTGATTGAAAGTCCACTTGCATACTTGGTTTCATTGTCAGAGTCAAAAGTCAAGGGTGATGAGGAAGAAGTGGATGAAATTGTAGCAGTGGGAGGAATGAAGGTAGGAAGAGAAAAGAAGGAAAAGTTACAAAGGCTGCTTTGGACCAGTTTTGTGCATAGGTTTCTAAGCACTATGGAGACCACAGGGCAACTGGACACTGCACCAACAGCCAAGATGGGGGAGATGGGAGGTGGTGATGTGCAAATGCTAAGGAAGTAAAGGGCAGCACCAAGTAGCATCAACAGAGAAGGCGGACTTTGGGGATGGGTCCCTATCTGGATTTCCCACATGGAAAGGGTTCATTCCAGTGCAAAGAAAACATGAAGCAAGGCGCTAAGACACAGAAGTCTGAGTAATAAGCTGAATTGGTTGTCAGGTGCTTGGGGTGGGAATGGTTGTGCCAGGTGAGGCTGAAGGGCTGGGTCCAGATCACATGGGAAAGAAATGCCAAGGGGCTTGGTCTTTTTCTCCAGATCTCAGAGACTCCCACAAACACAACTGTACCCTAACCAAGAGCAAACAGGTGTGAACTGACTAGGACTCTACTAAAGCAGCTACAGTGAAACTAGAAAGGAGCTACTTCCCTGATCCTTCACATCAGCCTGGCCTGCCAAGCACCACCCATGCACCCAGGAATGGCTAGGAGAGTTCACATGGAGGGAGATGGGACTAGAGCTGGTGCTGGATTTGATACAGGGTTTCAGGAGCAAAGCTGACCTTGAGAGTTAGCACCTCCTTGGAATTTGCACCCTGGGCAGCTCGCATACCTCACCTTCCCCAGCTCTGTCTGATAATGAGCTGATCAGGAGGATACAAAAACCATTTTGAGAAGAGAAAGCCCAGAAGACCTGGTTTGGGGAAGAGGATAAGCTTACTTAGGTGCCTCTTATTTTTTACAGTTACCAGATACGGAAGAGAACTTTTAAAGTTTTTTTTTATTGTATTTCATTGTTTATGCTATAACAATTGTTCCCCTTTTTCCCCCATTGCCCACCTCCACCCAGCACCACCCATCCCTTGGGCCATCCCCTTATTGTAGTCTGTGTCCATGGGTCAGGCACATATGTCCTTTGGTTTGGTGGTAATGAACCCCTTTAGCTGCTTTAATTTTGTATTTTACCCAGGGAATTTTAATTTTGTTTTTCAAACAAGTAGCACATGCATATACTTTCACAATTTGAAGATACAAGGATCTCAAAGAGATGTTCGCACCCCAGGTTGACAGCAGCCTTCTCCACAAAGACAGACAGGGGGAAGGGCAGGAACCCAGGGCGGGAGGAAGGACAAACAGGACATGGCCCACACAGTAGACTATTATTCGGCGCCCCCACAAGTTACAATAGGGATGAACCTGGAGGACAACGTGCCCTGAGAAAGAAGTCAAAGACAAAAAGGCAAACACAGCATGATCCCACCTGTATGAGATACCAGAGGGACCAAGTTCACAGGACTTGGAAGTGGAGAGATGGTGGATAGGGGCTGGGGGAGCAGGACTGGGTAGAGTCCGTTGGTGGAAGATGAAATGTGTTCCGGACAGGAGTGCTGGAGTCGGCTGCACAACACAGTGAATGCACATGATACCACAGAAGTACACACGAAATGGTTAAGTGGTAAATTTTATGGAATCCATATATTTACCACAATCAAAAAGAAATAATGAAAGTATAAATAGCACAAAAATAATCCTTCCACTGCTGTCTAACAGCCAACCCACTTGTTCACCCAAAACACCAAACATCACCAGATTCTGTGTATCCTTTCAGAAAGCCTGTGCATATACGAGCAAAGAGAGAGAGACAAATCCACATGGGGAGGAACTGAGGCCTCCCTCCAACAACTGCCACCACCTTGGCAGCCACATGACTAGACCCACCTGGAAAAGGACCCTCCAGTCCTCCTCACCTGGCCTTCAGATGACTTCAGCACTGGCCAACCTCCTCAGAGACCCAGAGCCACAACTGCCCAACCACTCCTAAGCTCTTGACCCGCAGAAACTGTCAGGAACATTTACTGTTGTTTCAGGCCGCTGTTTTCATGTGATGCATTACATAGCAGCAGATCAGCAGTGCACTGTGTGGGGCAGGGGTTCAGCTAGCAACAGACCGAGGCCCTCTGTGCTGGGAGATTCATGCATGGTGCCCTCCTAGTGGGAGGGGCTTTGGCCCCTGGCCCCAAGCCTTCCCTTTTACCACAACATCTGCCATGCCATCCAGCCATAGACTCTCATGGATACAAAATAGCTTGACATCCTGTCATGGGAAGAGGACAAATGTGCAAATGTAAGGTAGGGTTTTGCTGTTTGGGGGATTGCAAGCAGAACAACAACAGAGTTTACTCATTCCCAAGCTTTCAGACAAGGGATGAGGCCAGACTTCATGGGACCACGTGTCCCATGGCTAGAGCTCCTGTAGAGAGGGAGCCTGCCCAGAATGCGTCTGCTTTATAGGAAAGGGGAGGCAGGGAACATCTCGCATCACCCACATGGAAGCTGCTTGATGAATGAAATGATCTCCCTAGGAAGGGGCCTCTACTTCTCCATTGCTTGCTGGTACCTGCTGAGCTACCTGTCTGCTGCGCTATGGAAAGGGGACAGGGAATGAATGCGCAGGACTCCCCTATTTCTTTCTCCTCACCTCCTGAATTCTCAGCACTTCACTGGTCCCCATTGCCAGGCTGTGCTAGAAACACAGCAAATGTTTGCTGGCTCTCAGGTCAACACAGAGAAAAACACTTGTTTTCCCTTCTCAGTAAGAAACTTTGGGAGGTAACTTGGGCAGACACCGAGACAACAGCATCAGCAAGCTAATAAAGGGAAGGCCTGTTCACTCTGCCTGGAATCCTTCTAACCATTTTAGGTAAGAATTCTAAATTGTCCCAATGGTTTACCCTTCATCCTTATTGAAAATCTCATGCCCATCAGATGGAGCCTTGTTGTGTACTTTCTGTGCCATGTTGTTCCTGCCTGTGTCACTGACAGGTCTGCACAGATCCCTCAGCCAAAGCGGCTGCCTCCTCCACAAAGAGCCCTCCCAGAACACAGACAGGGAGCTGCACTTCTGCATGTCCCTGCTTTCTCCCACCACCAAACATGCTGGGCTGTGTCCCAGTACCCGTGCTCCACCGGGGGGCGTTGTGCTCTTGTCCCATGCTTGGTTGGCACCATTCTTCACACCAAGTACTTAACCACCAACATTCATTTGAGGTCATTCAGGTCGAATATTAAACCTTGTTTGTTCAGAATTTCTTTTACTTGCTCAGGCAGTTAAGTCTCACTGACTTACCAGGTGTGACTGAGTAATGACTCTCTGCAGGAGGAGTAGAGGAACCTGTGCATTCCCTCAGCATGATCACTTGGAATCATGCAGCCAGGGGTCTGTGCTGGCAATGGACACAAGTGGGTATCTCTGGATCTGGGCTAAGCTGGAGGGAGCCCCGCAGCACACACCTGACCCTCAGCTGGGTCAGGAGGAGCTGAGGCAGGACAAGTGAATGGAGAAGGGGCCCCACCCATATGTTCTCTAAAATGCAGGCCTCAGGAGGGAAGTCGTGGGTAATTCTTGCTCTCATACATTCTCCTTTACCCTGTCTCTCCAGCACCTCCCTGCTAGCTATCCAACAGTAGCTAGTTTTTTAAATTAAGAAATGAAACAAAAAAACCTAATGTGCATTTTCCACTAATTGGTAAGGGTGCAGAACCTGCTAAACCAAATCAGGGCACACATTTGTGTGTGAGTTTAAGAGCTTGGGGGAACACTCAGGCCCCAACCTGCAGGTAGGCTCAGGGATCAGGTATTCTGACAACCCCAGAGACTGCAGGAGAGGGGCTGCAGGTGGATGAGGGGGAGAGGGAGGGCAAGTACATTGTAAACAGCTGGCACCTCGTGAGCCAGGGCTCACAGAACCAGAATAAGCTGTTATTTCACTTAAAAGCCTACACCCCTCGAGGATGATGTATTTTCCAGTTCTGAGGGACTGAGTGTATGGGGAAAATGAGCAGGAGGAGCCCCTCTTCATGTAAAGGGAGACAATCCTCCAGAGTTGGGAAGGGTCTGAGCCGAGCCTGTGTGAATGCAGACGTTGCCCGCTTGCTTACTGTGGCAGGAGGAAGAGGGGCAAAGGCAGACATGGCTGACACTGGCTGTCATGGGTGGGAAGCTGGAGATTCCCACAGGCTTTGGGCATACATGGGATTCTGGGTCAGATCTTTAGAAACTGAGTGAGTTTGGAACCAAAATGTGGTCGTTTCTTTCCCCTCCCCTGGTGGGGCGTGGCAGTGGTCAGCAGCTGGTGTGCCAATGGAGCCCTGTGCAGGCCAGTGAGCAGTGGCCCCGGGCACCAACTGCAAGACATGCCTGAAGCTGGACGGTGACTGGACACCGGCTAAGTCACCTACGTCTATGTGACTTTTGGGTGGGAGAAGAGGTTCCCGGTGCAATCTGAACTGAGCTGGCAGAGGGTGACAGGGTGATTTGGGGGGTGGGGTATCTTAGAGGGAACAGGCTTTGAGTTCCATTGCCATTACTGACAAAGCCCTTGGTGATGACTATGTGCACTGTGAACAAACTTCTGCTCTTGTCATATTTTCAGTTCTTGAGCCTAGTGGTTGTATGACAAATATTTAAGTAGCTCTTCGAGGTCACACTCTTTTTCCTTCCCCTCATTGGTTACCCAATAATTAGGCACAAACTTGCTGTTGCATAAAAGATTCCTTTCTGTTTCAGTTAACTCTGACTTTGGAGATCTCCCAGGTAGGCAGCAACAGGAGCACCCCCTGCACCCCTTCTGGGGTGTTGGTAACATTCACACATGTTTGACCACACTCCCTCTGAAGAATTACTGGCTACCCCAGGGATTCCACCTTCAGCCCTGCTTTCCTTCCCCATAGCCCTAGTTATTTGTGCATAAATGCTGATCCATTCACATTTTAATTTTTTACCTCATGGCCAGAGTTGGTCATGAATTTACCACACGGATTAATGGAAGAATACAATGTATTTGATCAGCAGTGCTCACACAACATTCCCGGCTACAACTGGCAGGTCCCCCGAGGACGGGGTTCACAGGGTGGCGGTGTCAGGCATCACTCTCTTCAGCTGTCTCCTCAGCAGCCGATTCTGATGTAGCAGCCTTGGCTGTTGACATGGAGGCTTCACCCTTCTCCATGTCACCCTCATCAGACATACTGTGGTGTACACTCTGTCCCACATTTCCCTTGTGCGTGGCGTTGAGAGGCCAATACATATCCCACAGCCAAAGCGGCCACCTTCTCTGGAAACCGCCCTCCTCCATCTCGTGTTCTGCTGAGTGGCTCTTGTGTCCAAAAATTGAGAAAAAGCCCCTTCCTTCTTTGCCTCCCTCTGCTGTTCTTCTCTGACAGGTGGCCATGAGACAGAAAATGACCAAGAAAATTGATGCTACTGCAATCACAGGGGCTGCCAAGATGAGTTTGTTCTTATACCCGTAGCCTGGGACTTGTGCCCTGAACTCACGTGACTCCTGTTCTTCATCTTCACCCTGGGCCTCGGTCCTCTCATCTCCCCAGTGATCTGTGTCCCAGTCTGCCTTGACCTTAACCTCCTCTTGTGCAGTGAGGAGCTTCATCAGGAGGTTCATGAAGGCTGATAAGCTGCCACCATTTTCTTCTCCTGGGGACGCCCTCTCTGGCTCAATGGTCAGCTCAGGGCTGTTGCGCTTCTCCCGGCCTTGTAAAACTGTCATGAGAGAGCCTTCCGCCTTTCCTAAGTACAGTTCTTCATCACACTGTGTGTGTGTCAGACAGTCACTGTCACAGTGCAGTTTGACTGTCTTGCTGACACCCTCAATACTGCTTTTGAACTGGCAGAGGCAGCAGGCCAGATGGCTAGGTAGGATCAGTTTTCGCAATTTAAGGGCCATCAGGAGGATGCTCTCAACTGTTATGAGGGACACTTGCGTTGTTCCCATGTCTAAATATCTTAATGCTGGCAATTTAAAAAGATACGAATCCTCAACAGTGGTCAGTGGATTGTGACTGAGAATTAACCTGTGTAAAAACTGCATTCCATGCCAGGCCTGAAACGTTCCAAATCTCAAGTTAGCGATTAGATTGTTATGAAGATTTATCTGTTGCAAAAAAGGCATGGATTCAAATGTATTCCTTTCGATAAGCTGTATTTTATTGGAGGATAAGTCTAAGTACTGGAGGGATAGCAGGCCTTCAAATGAATCCTTGTGCAATTCAGTCAAGTAATTCTCACTGAGGATTAGTTTCTCCACCCACCGGTATGACTCCCAGGAATCTCTGTCGATGTAAGAAATCGAGTTTCCTTTGAAATTTAAGAGGGTGAAGGAGCCATTGTGGGTTTGTGGGTACAGCACAGGCACCCTGTGGAGCCTCTGCTTCGGGCTGAGACCCGTACACGACAGCGTCTCGTTGCTGCAGGTGCAGAGCTCGCAGATGTTCATGACGGCATTCTGTTCACTCACTGGGGCCCCTGACTCAGATGTCTCTGGTTGCTGAGTTCTGATGAACTCCAGCTGTGCACCGTGACCTGTGACTTCCGTTAGGGTTGGCAGCTGATCCTGAACGAGAAATGTCACCAGAGGGTGCTTGGGAGGAGCTGCAGTCTGCTGCAGGGCTCTAGCGTGTTCAGCCTCCACAGGAGGTTCTGGAGTTACAGTGAGCTGTGGGTTCAAAGGTGCAACTCTGACCTCAGAGAAGGTGGTTTGCTGAGCATGACTAGGCTCTGGATGTGGAAATGTCACCTCTGCCTGCTTGGGAGGAGGTGTGGTCCTCTTCAGGGTTGTGTGATGTTCAGCCTCCTCAGCAGCTTCTCGTCGTAGGGTGAGCTGCAGGACCACAGGGGGAAGTCTGACATCAGAGAATATGTGTGGCTGAGCCTGAACAGGCTCTGGTTGTGGAAATGTCACTGGAAGATGCCTTGGAAGAGCTGCAGTTTGCTGTAGGGGTGTAGGATGTTGAGCTTCCACAGCAGGTCCTGGAGTTACAGTGAGCTCCAGGTCCAAAGGTGCAACTGTGATAGAGAAGGTTGGTTGCTGAGCTTGAACAGGCTCTGGATGTGGAAATGTTACCTCTGGCTGCTTTGGAGGAAATGTAGTCTTCTTCAGGGTTGTATGATGTTCAGCCTCCATAGTAGTTTCCTGTGTTAGGGTGAGCTCCAGATCCAAAGGTTGCACTGTGACTTCGGTCAAACTTGGTTGCCGAGCCTGAATAGCCTCTGGATGTGGAAATGTCACCTCAGGGTTCATTGAAGGAGCTGCAGTGTATGTCAAGGCTATAGAATTTTTAGCCTCCACAGTAGTTTCTGGTGTTACGGTGAGCTCCAGACTCAAAGGTGGAACTGTGACGTCAGTGTAGGTTGGTTCCTCACCGTGAATTGGTACTGAATTTAGATAATTCTCCTCAGGGTGCTGTGGAGGAGCTATAGTCTGCTGTAGTAGTATAGCACTACCCTCGGAAGCAGGCTGATCTAGGGTCTTCTGCTGGAATGAAGACAATTCTGTCGTCTCAGGTACCTTTGGAGGGACACCCAGCAGGATGGGAAGTTTGAACATTTTGGTAGATTTTTCAGCTGAGGCCTCCTTCTCAGTCTCAGGTGGTTTACTCTTTGTAGGATGCTTTGGTGCTATCAAATCCCCAACATCCACTTTTGTAATATTCAGGTAAGGCAACACTGGACGCTGAGTTTCACTTGAATCTAGAGGTGAGACTGTCTCTTCACGGTTTATAGATGATTTTGGCAGTACAGCTGGACCCTTTGGCTGGACTGAAGGAGGTTCTACACCAGCAATAGGCAGCTGTGGCAGAGCTGAGCTCTTATCCTCGCCTGAAATGTCAACATTTTCAGAGGAGATTTGATGCTGATTAAACACTCCATCAGAAACCTGCACCGATTGATCCAACTCAGGGGACACTGCAGCCTGAGCTGAGGTGTCCTCTTGTGTTGAAGAGTGTCCTCCAGCCTCAGGGTCTTCTGGTGGATGAGCTGGGGACTCCTGAGAGGTTGGAACTGCTTCTGTTTCCTCAGGGACCTCTGGTGGAAGAGCTGAGGGTTCTGGATTTAATAATAAAGACTCGAAGTCTTCGGCCATGAATGAATTCATGGGGGGTGTTTGCTGATCCGAAGGCCAGGGCTCAGTGGGCCCCGGGGATATGGAGGTCAGCAGGACAGGGTCCAGGGCTACAGGCTGAGCTGGAGCTGCCTGGAGCAGCAGCCATAACAGCCTCCGTGTGAAAAGGAGGCATGAGGCCCACAGGGGAAGCCCGGACATGTCAGGGACAGGTCCAAGATACAGTAAGCCACAAAAGCTGGTGGGGCAAGGCGAGCAGCTCAGATAAGTGGGATGCCAGCACCGGGTCACAATTGCCAGTCATGTCATACATGTGTCCCATAACAACGGAGTACCCCTCCCCTGCTTCAGTCTCTAAACTTTCTTTAGTGAACCTTTATTAGACTTGGGTTGACAGTGATTACAAGAGTTAGACTTTTTCTGGAAGTCACCAGGGACCAAGAGGTCCTTTTCCCCTGCAGAGGGGACAACTAGTTTTCGCTGAACCCCCTTCCCCTTCACATGAGGCAGAAGTTGGGCTGCACCTGGGTGGCCCCAGATTCTAGCCACACAGAGACAGTGTGGTGGGGGAGGGGTGTTAAAGGAGCTGGGGGGTTGAGGGTGCTGCAGAGCTTCCCAAGGAGGCCTGGGGACCTGGCAACCCAGGAAACTCAGAAGTGCTAGTTCAGTTCTGGGAATCTGATCTCCTCCTTTAAGGCTGACATGGGAGAGTCATTCTTCCTCCTCTTGGCCATACTGCTCCAAGAAAAGTAGCTGACCTTTCTTAAGACTCTCTTCACTTTTACATAGTTCCCTTGTTTGACATACACATGAAGCTGAGCTTCCAAGAAGTCACCTTGTAACAGGAATAAAACCTTTGTACTACTCTGACATACCATGAAATGATTAGAATAAATTGTACTAAGAAACTCATAGAAGGTTCATGCAGTAGATGTTTCCTTCCTGGTATGTTATTGACATCAGCAGTTGAAGCTCCTGCTTAACCAAGGAATGACCCTGAGCACAAGAAACTGGGCAGGTGTCAGTAACTCATATTGCAACAGGGGACACTCACTCCTGGTAATGAGGGAGGGGGTGAGCTGAGGAAACCAGGGCAACACCTGCTGGCCTCTCCAGGCATTCTAGGGGAAATCATGAAATAGGAGTGTATAGAGATGCTGTTTCCTCTTTTAAGTCCCCCATCCTTCCCAGCCACTGGGGGCTGGAGGCCCTGAGCCCGGAACTTTAAGGACAGTAAGAGAACAGGGGAGCAGGCTTGGGCCCATCAGAGGCCAGCCCTGTGCCCCTCCCTGATGTGGGCCTTTCAGCAGCCACTGCCCGCCCACTTCCACATGGACCTGTGAGACTAACACACTAGTTTCAGTGGTTTAATAGAGGGAGAAAAAACCTAAATGGGACCAAAGTTTATGCCTTCTTCAATAGTACAGATTTACTTCTTTTGTTAATTTTACTTCTTGAATCTATGTAACAGTTGTAATGATAAATATTTAAATAGCTATTTTTCCATGTTATGATTGTTCAATAAAAGATTCCTTTCTTTTCCACTAAACTCTGTGGAATTTTGCCTGGTATGCAGTGAGTGGTAGGCCCCTCCCCCACCACTGGTTGAGATTGGTAACAGAAAATGCTGAGTCTGCTGCGACCCTAGGCAGTCGTGGTAGATGTAAGCCCTGTGGAGTGGAACAGGGGGTTTTTCCCTTTCGGGGAAAGTCCTCTATAAAACCACTAGAGGTGTCAGACACTTAAGCACCTGGCAAGTGGAAAGGAAAGAAATCTGGAAAGGGAGCAGTCTCTGGGCAAGATGAAGGATCACCTGAATTTGGGGGCTATGAACTGGGGTGCAGGTGACAAGTGTCTGAGGTTTGTGGGGCCATTGCTTGGGAGACAATGTTGATTAGGTCAGTTGGTATGATGCTTGCTTGTGAGCACTCATCAGAACCATGGAGTTATAGGTTCAAGTTTGGCTTATATGTTCCAGTTTGCCTGCACTCTTTCAGTCATAGCTTCAGACCTACATGTCCAGGCCATAAGAGCTGTTCTGTGTTGGCTCCTGGAGGGAGCCCACAGGGTAGGATTTTGGCTAACTGGAGCATGTACTGCTATTACTCAGTGTCCTAGGAAGTAGTGATTTATTATTGTGATACTTTGGGGCCTGCGCATGTTTTGGATTGTGGGGAAAAGTGGCCCATGCATGGTTCCCTAAGTTGCTGTAGCACCATGCAATGCAGTATTTCTAAAGGTTAGGCAGATGGGATGACATCCATTATGTCATTTGCATAATAGAGTTTTTCCATTTGCTTGATGGCATAGAGAAGAAAAATGTCTTTAAAACACATCCCTGACAGTAAGACACAGGAACAAAGGGAATGGGGAAATAAGTCTTGTTAATGTCCTGAACCCAGGAGACACAGTTTAGTAGTGGAAAGACCTCCCCTATCACCACCCTCACCACTAACTACTCCTGGAGTGGAGCTTACAGAGCCAATGACTCTACCCCTGTATGACAAGGGACAGCTCCCCCCCTCAAAGACCTGACAGGGCACCAAATTTGGCCAGGGAGCCCCCTTTCTGGAACAAGGCAGTTCCCTTTGAGGCAATATCCTATTGGTGTAGTAACTCAGGAAGGCCAGCCCAGTGGCTACCATTGGGTCCATACTCCATTTTCTGCCCCAGACTAAATGAATTGGAAGAATTCCAGCCCCTCATACAGGGAGGATCCTCAGAGAATGGCAGATCTTATCATATCACCTCCTCCTTTGCCCACATCATCTGATCTGGGCAGAGGTACAGGCTCTCCTTGACATCTTGTTAACCACAGACAAATGATAGCTGGTTATAAATAAAGCTAATGAGGAGGCCCAACGTCTCTACCAAGAGAAATCCAGTGGGACCCCCAACCCAGCTGGGGCAATTCCCTTGACAGAACCTGACTGGAACTCAAATGGTGGGGGCCTAGCCTTCCTGGAACATTACAGAAAGTGCATACTGAAAGGGCTTAAGAAAGGGGTGCCTAACAAAAGGTCCTGAATATGTTATAGGCCCTTCAGCAAAAAACAAATGAGGCCCCTTCTGAGTTTTTGGAAAGAATCTATGAGGACTGTGGAGAGCACACTCTAGCTGACCCACAGCCACCAGAAAATGTGTGGATGGTGAACATGACCTTTATTGGACAAAGTCTCCCACATGTTAGAAGGAAACTCCATCAGTGAGATGGAGCATTGGGAATGAATCCTCCTTGGCTTACAGATACCTTTAAAGTCTGCAATGCCCAGGAAATAAGGAAGATGAAACAGGCCACAGTACTAGCAGGGGGCAAGACTAGCAGAAGAGGCAGGACCTTTAAGGGAAAAAGAGAGGCCCACCAGGTGACAATCACTGTGCCTTTATGAGGAGAGGGGCCATTGGAGAAAGGGGTGCCCCAAACTCAAAAAGAAAAGCAGAGATGAAAAACCCTCACCGAGAAATGCTAAAAAGGGGAAGGGAGTCTGATGACCAATGAGGAGACCCAAGGGCTCCCTTGGACCTCCTCCGACTTATTAACATTTTCCAGAGGAGCCATGGTTACAGTTGATGGAGAGAGACAAGCCAATTGGTTTCCTTGTAGTTACAGGAGCTATAAAAGTAAGGGACAGATTATGGCAGGGATGCTTCAATGGACATCATTAGGCCACATTTGAAGGGGCCTCATTCACCAAGGACTGTTCAGAATATCACACATCCTGTTCAATATGTGCCAAAAGCGATCCTAAGGCAGAACATATCCAAGCAAAAAAAGGAGTACAATATAAAGGGTTATGCCTATTTGAGAACTGACAAGTATATTTTACACAAATGCCTAAAACCACCAGGAATTTAAAATTTGTATTAGTTTTTGTGGACACTTTTTCTGGATAGTTACCAGACTATCCTACTAGAACTGAGAAGGCAACTAAGGTAGCAAAATCTTTATTTAATGAAATAATTCCTAGGTTTGGTCTTCCTCACAGCATTCAGAGTGATGATGAACCATCATTCACTTCAGAGATTGCCCAAAAGTTTGGATAGGCACTACAAATACAATGGAAATAACATGCATTTGAAGGCCTCAATCTACACAAAAGACTGAAAAAATGAATTGCGTAATAATGAATACGCTGGCAAAAATAGGTCAGGAAATGCATTTGAAATAGGACCAGGTACTCCCCATTGCTTTGCTCTATATTAAGGTAGCACTCAGAAGTGGGCTTAAGTGAAGCCCTTTTGAAATAGTTTGTGGGACACCTTTCCAAATCTCTGCTTCAGGAATACCCCCTTTAACTTGGAGCACGAGCCAAAAATTAAGTAATGTATGCAACGCATAGGGCAAACACTAACCATTCTGTACAAGTTTACTCATTTCAGGTCCGTCTTCCCATTAGATGAGTACTTACAGCCATCCCAGCTTAGGAAACAAGTCTTACTAAAAATCTGGAAGATTCAAGGACCTGAAACAGCTAGCCAAGCAA